CTACACCTGACATCAAACTGTGGTTTACAAGCTTGAGAACCAAAGGTCCAACTGTTGGTAACACCTCTTTTAAGAGTCGCGGGGGGACAGCATCATTTGGAGACCCTGCAGGCTTAAAACGACCAACAGTCTCCTCTAAAGAGGACAGAGTTACCAGCTCAAACCTGTCAAAGACCGCAAAACAGTAAGAAGAGACTGAGGGGTCATGAGCAGAAGGAGAGATTTGAGCCCTGGTGGAGGAGACCCTCTCAATAAAATGTTTTTTTTTCACAGGCTGCAGACAGGGCTCAGTACAGTCAGTATGTGGTGCACTAAGAACAGAGTTAATAGTTTTTAATAAAACACATGGGTTGTGACAGTTTGATAGAATAAGTTCAGATTTAGTTTTAGGCAGCCTGGTTTTAAATGGAGCCACAGGAGGTTTTAAATGGAGCTAAAAATTGTAGCTATTCCTCCTCCTCGGCCCAACATATGCGGGGAATTAACATAGCAGCAATCGTCAGGTAGAAGTTCTGAGAACATGCTGATCTCACCGGCACTCAGCCACGTCTCGCACACACACACAGAAAATCCAGTCCTCGTGATGTGAAGAAATCCTTCAGGATAAAAGTTTTGTTCGCTAGGGACCTAGCATCTACCAGGCCAATCCTGGCAGTAAGCGGCGGATCCACGTCGCTAGCCGTCCTTGAAGCCCGACACATAGGCCACGGGTTACGCAGATTCAAACAACACCAGTGGGGACGAGGAGAGCAGGGTTTTCAGGGCTGGAACATGCCATCCAGGCTGACGACAGGTACCAGCGATTGCTGAGAGAAACAGAAGGTTGGCACCACTCCGTGTTTTCTGGATAATACACAGCTAGATACTTTCATGTTAAGAAAGAATTTCTTTCCTTTCACTGAACTAGTTAAGTCACATCCCTGAAAATCCTTACACTCCAATTCAATTCAATTCAATTCAATTTTATTTATTTATTTATTTATTTATATAGCGCCAAATCACAACTAAAGTTGCCTCCATGGACGATAACACTTATCCATGGTTTGATGCCCTTCTGTTACAGACAGGAAGTGTGGCCAAGTCAGACTGGACCTTCCTGCACTGTCTCCCTCGGGAAATGGAGGAGGTGGATGATCAGGTGTTCTACTCATCCCGCTCTCTCGTCTTTTCGGAGGCAGAGAATAGAAAATGGACCATCATGGTGGGCTGAAATGTTAACGCATAATGTGCTGTTTAAGTTTGTTTAACTCCAGTTTAATTTTCTTTCAACTGACCATCACAACTGTCTTCTGTCTTTCAGGGCCTCATTGTTTCTCTTCTGACTGACTACACGCCACAGATCCCCATGCTGAAGTTTTAACATCAGTTATTAAGAGGGACTAGGGCATGGGATGACTTCAAAGAAGACTGTTGCAATGCTGTCATATTGTAACTTCAGGATAGAGCTGCCATGTGGGAGCGTGGGGCTGTGGTGTGCTTCTGTTTATGTGTAGTAGGTCTGTGTGTCAAAGTGCATGGCAAGGTTAGAGAACCCAGAAATTCCCAGGACTCTCTTATTGCTCACAGTTCTTATTTCACTCTTTGTGATGTGTCACCACAGCTGCCATAAAACTTCAGTGAAGATGAAGAACTAGAGGTTAATCCATAAATAAAATACTCCCAACAACTGTTCACTGATTTTGTAAATGTTTAGTGCATATCTGGAATTTGCA